CATTTGATATGAGCTAGGAGTTAAAATATATAGACTATCTTTCAATGCACCAGAAGTTATAACACAACCATTTAATTTAATTAAAACATTTTTTCCAAAAGAAAAAATATAGTTTTTGCAAACCAACGAAGAAACTGAAATTAAATTTTGCCTAACATTTGGCGCATAAAGACAATCTTCTAAAATAAGATTCCTCATACTATCAAACTGTATATGAACCATTCCCACTACTTTAGCTTCCTCCTTGGTATTAGATCCCATATGCAAGTATATCTCTCTTTCATTGAGGCTTCGGGATTCATGGAATCCCTGCAATGAATTCCAAACATAATTAATGGCTCCAAAATCTATGCACCAGGAATCTATAGATTCAACCACATTACATGCCTCAACAATGACTATACATTTTCCTTTGCCTTGCGTGCGAAGTGTTGGGCAGTTGGTTTTTAGTGACCCGGTTGACCGTAATGGAAGCAGTTTCCTTCGCCTTCAACCCGCACTTTCTTCTTCCCCTTATCCTTTTGGATCACTTTGTTTGGCACAAGCACAGTTTGGACACCATCCTTCTTCTTTTTCTTGCCCCTCCTCTTGGGCCTAGAAGTGGATGGTCCAGCAGACTGAGTGTAGTTGATAGATGCACCCTTACTTTTGATTATCCCTTTAAAGGTTACCAACTCATTCAAAAGTTCAGTGAGTGAGAACTCAAGCTTATTCATAGAATAATTAACCCTAAAAGAGTTAAATGAGTCTAGCAATGAAGCGATAATCATGTCAACCTGAAGTTCACCATCCAAGTTGCATCCAAGGATCTCAAGTTCATTTAGAAAACCAATCATTTTTAAAACATGATCCCGAACTGGAGTACCTTGGACCATATTGTTGGTCATCAAGTTTGTCATAGCAGTTTGGCGTGCACTCTTACCAACTTGTCCAAACATTTCCTTGAGGTTAAGCATGATGTCTGCAGAAGTGAGATAATGGAGATGTTGACTTTAGAGTACATTCAAGAGTGAAGCAAGAATGTAGCACCTAGTCATCTCATTTGCTTTATTTCATTTCTTAAAAACTTTATGCTCCTCAGGAGGATCCTCAGGCAAAGGTGGAGAAGGTCGGGGAGTAGTGAGCACATAATTGAACCCCTCATATGTGAGTACAATATCTAGTTGCCTTTTCCAATCGATATAATTAGGTCCAGTTAATCGATTTTCTTTTAATATATTTGCAAGTGAACTGAATGGATAGTCATGATAAATCTGCAAAATAAAAGCATTCATACAATAAATAAAGTGAATAAAAATACTCATGCAAAATAAAATAATTAATTAACTGTGGGTCCCTTAACCACATTGCATGAAAAATCGGACAATCAATATGCCAATAACTTATCTGGTTGGCGGAATTCATTATTGCTTATTGACGAGAAAAACTCATTATTTCCATATCTCTTTAGACAATGCCTTATCTATATATGAAATAAATCCCGATTATGTTTAGCCTTTCTAAAATCACCTAGTATAGACCACTCCATTGGGGAGCTAATACTATTGATTTTAGATTGAGTGTATAACGTAATTAATGCTCCAACGAAAAATCAAATATTAAATGTATTGCCATTATCAGCTTAGACTCTTTAAATCATGCGTAGGGCCTTATTTTTAAAGATCTGACTATAATGGACATTTAATAAATATATTTTTGTGAGACAACCATTCTTTTAATCTAGACTCTTTAAATCATGTGTGGGGCCTTATTTTTAAAGATCTAATCATAATGGTTATAATAACGAAGGCCATAGGGTAATGTATAAAAATCCCCACGCCCACTCAATTTTTAATTATACATAATTATGGTTTTCTATTCATGATTTAATGCATGCAAAATGCCTTGATTTTAATCTAATTAAATTTAGAAAATATCTGGATTTTAAATGATTCACTAATATTTAATTTAAGGCATTATTTTAAAATAATTTACAGAAATAATTTTTTATTTCCCAATAAATGCCCTCAAATTAATTAGTAATCAAATTTAATTTATCTTCATAATTTAATTAATATAAATCAAGCCATTTAGATAAAAAATCATGGATCCAATGCATGAACAATAATAATCACTATTAAATTATTCCATGCATCACATAAATAATTAAATCAAGACAGAAGCAAATTAAATGGCCAATGGAATCAGCTTTTAACATTTAAATACTTTTCTTGCTGTACGGGCGTCCTTCAACAGTCTTTAAACACCTATAGGAAGTTGGTACGCGTTAGGAGAAGCAAAACGGTGCTTGGAACGCGCCTGGAGGACCCCACACGAGCTGGCACGCGCCTAGGGAAGCTGGTACGCATCCCCACGCGCTGGTAATAGCAACAGGAGCTTGGCATGCGTCTTCATGCGCTGCCACGCACTGGTGACATCAATGGGCGCGTGGCATGCTCCATCATGCACTGCCACGCGAGTTAAAGTTCTGCATATGCTGGCGCGTGTTCCTCACGCACCAGCTTGATTCCAAGGTGCTAATTGCACCATGCCACGCGCCGCATGTGATCCTTCCCTCCTTCCTTGATTTGATCCAGCAGTAATAGATCAGGTTTCATGGTAAGGTTGTGTACCGCATCACACCTGATCCTGTGTCATCTTCTGGCTCACCGCCGGCGAGCCTCCGGTCACTGGAAAATCGCCGAAGAAATTCCAGAAATTAGGAAAAAAATTCTAGAAAATTCCGAAAAAATTTCAGAAAATTACTGAAGCCTAATTTAACCCTTTTGGACCTTCTTGAAGCTTTATAGCATTCTTTGATGAAGATTACATGACTTTAATAAATATTTACAATTTGAAATACAATGGAAAAATTAAATTACATCATTGAAATTTCGAATAGCTAAATCAAAGCCTTAATTACATTCATCCAAAAATAAAATTACATTGAATATACATATAAGCTTCATCCATGACCCAATCATACATCATCATCCATTCACAATTATACATACATCATCATGTATCAATATATATCAATATAATAAATCATACATCAACATACATCAATAAATATATATATATATATATATATATATATATATATATATATGTATATATAATTTGGATCCATGAAGATGATTTTAAATAAAACATGATCTCTAGTAACGAATTAAACTATGCTCTAATACCACTGTTGGGAAATGTGCAAGTTTTTAAAAAAACTTTTGAGGGATTTTCATATATGGATCTTGATTCATCATGTAGAGATAAGTTTTATGCAAAAATTAAAGATGATGTATCACTTAATTAACAATTTGAATACTTACATCAAAGGTCTAAGTAAACCTTTTAATCTTTCCTCTAACGTGAATGTTCTCACTTATTGTAGATCCCTTAGCAAGATCCTTTCTCCTTCTTCTTGATGATAATCTTCCCTTTAGGAATCACCAATATGCCTTGATGAATGACCTTGGAATCAAGGCTTGTGGTAGCCTCCTTTAGAAGAGAAAGCAAACCCTAAAAACTAGATAGAGAAACTATATTCCTTTTTCTTGTTCTAAAAGTCACACCCTAAAATATACATGAACCCATATATATATAGGCAAAATAAAGGTAAGAAAAGGAAATAATAAATTCTTCTCCATCTCTAATTCAAATTTCTCAATTCTAATATGACTCCAATATCAACTTGAGCTATGGGTGAGAATCCTTTGGGCTTACTATTTTCTTGGCTACTATAAATTAATAATTGGTCCGACCCATTAAACCATGGACCCAATTCAATTAATTCATAAATTAATTTCTACTCCACTAAAAGAAATTAATTGCACTCTAATTAAATAGTAAATAACCTCTAAGTCAATATTGCACTTTGACCCCTCTATGCATAATTATTTATCGGATAATTAATATAATTATGTTGTTACCTTTGATTATTTCTGGCTCGACCACAATAAAATATTTTGACAAAAATAATTATTTATTAAATAAATATATATAGAAAACATTTTGTCTAAAACATACGAAGGCCTTCGAATTTAATTTGTGATCAATCATAATCAAAACAAAATAAATACAAATAGCACTGATACAAATATTAAGAATATAAACCTCTAACTATTAATTACATAACTACCCAAAGTGCCGATCTAAGGATCCCGATGTATCTGCCGAACAAATCAAAGTAATTATTAATTAATAAAAAAGTCTATACTTCTCTTATGCTTAAGAATCAAAAGCCATGACTGTGATAGAAAGTAATTGCATAGGACAGCTCTCACAATATATCTCAATCTATCGTGGACTCGGTTCAAGTCTTAACTAATTAAATGTCCATCCATAATTACCAACTTTGAACCATTTATGATTACTAATTTATAACTTAGTATTAATTGCCATTACATACATATATAAATATATCTTGTAATCAAGTGGACACAATCAATTCCATAATGAATCGAAAAATAATACATTCCATTCACCAATTGTATAATGCCTTAATAATAATAGTCAGATAAGGAACCATGACTTTTATAATTCAAATAAGAATTTGCTATGCTAGGGCACACATATCCCGACAGGATTCTACAACTTCATTTTTGTCTACGATCTTAGAATATCTTTTTAGATACTAGCCCATTTTTGCCCAGATTATTGGAGCTTAAATTTTGAGATTTCATGGCTCTATATTTTGTTTCATCCCGATGGCCTTTATTTGCTTATGTTACAAAGTTTTATCATTAAAAAGGAAAATAAGGCCCTGCTTGATTTAGAACTCTCATAACAGTTTTCTGTTTTGAGAGTTACTAAAATCTAAAAACTGTCTTTTTTATTCTACTTGGATCTATTTTCACATAACAGTTTTAAAAAAACTGAGAACTTAGTGGTATCAGTTTTTAGAGAACAAATTTTTGTTGTTTTGGTAATTTTTGAAAACTAAGAGACCACATAATGAAAACACAAAGAACAAAAGTTGACTTAAAAACTGACAGAACCCTATATCTCGTTTATAACGAATGTCTTTGTTCTATCTCCTCAGCCAAAGAAGCCCTCTGTACCGTCCCTGTTCGTGCTCTCAGATTTCTTAGCCAAAGTCTCTCTTCAACCTTTGTTTATTTGGTAAGCAATTTTTATGTAACTTCATATCTATTTCTGTGTGTGTCCATAGATGCGTGTATATAGATATATAATTTATCAGTTTCTTTTTCCTTTTATTTGTGCTAAAGTTTGTCCTTTTTTTGTTGATAGAAATATTTGAATTTTATTTTAGAGAATTTATTATTATTTTTTCTTTGGCATGTAGAGGGCAGTGAGTATCACTCCATTAATGGCGCATCAACTTATTCAGGTATTCAATTGCTGATCTTTACCAGTTTTTTCCAGCTTCTAACAAAAATAATTCTCTTGCCAGCTAATATTATATGAAATCTTGCATTTCGGTCATAGTTCTAGATATCTGTTGCCCAAATTTCATATTATTCCTTCCATTGAGTAGTTCTCCTTTTACATTTCTTGGCTAAATTCTACACTGTTTCTCACATTAAATTATATTTCATAATCTCACATTTAATCTTTTGATTATGTCAAATAGTGTTTTTTCAAATTTTAAGAACATGGAACTTTAATTTTGTCATAGCTCTGTACGAGGCTGATGCACAGTTAGCCTTTTTGTCCAATCTTGAAGAAGAAAAAGGTGAAATAGTAGCAGTGATATTAGAGGATAGTGATCTACTAGCATACATCATCAAGAGAAGAATTTTTAGATCAAAAGCCTTTTGCAATTGTCTCATTCTCATCACTAAAGCAGGATCCCATTTCAACATTCTTCAACTTCAGAATTTCCTCACAAGCATCAGTCACTTGATTTCAAAAGCTTGTACAAAGCTCTATTCATTGTGTATGTAAGCTAAATTATATTGTCCTCTTAAACATTTTATCTTACTAGTTTTGGTTATTGTGGTGTAAGAAAGATATTGTAAACAGGGGGGTTGTTCTCGGTGATTTATTGTAAACAAAGGAAGTGATAAGTGAAGAGCGTGTGACAATAGTGAAAACACATGTACTAATCATTTTGTATTAGCGGATCTTAATTTGAGACAAATCATGTCACTAGAAGTAAATCTTGTAGTCCTTTTACTCTATTTTAAAGTAAACTAATAGTGTATTTGTGCAATTCTTATTAACTTGTTAAGAGTAAAGCACCTGTGACACTAGTTAATAAATAGTGCATTAGCAATTAAAATATCAAATATAAACTCTCATCTCTAAAACAGAATTTTTAACAATTTTTACAATCAAACAGAATTTTTAGTTTTTGTGTGTGTGTTTGATCTCTTTTTTGCGTTTTCTATTTAATTTTGTAACATACATACCAACATATGGTGAGTGTATGTATATATACATATACTAATTGATATTGTAAACAATTTTGAAAATGAATTTATTTTATACATTTGTTTTTTTTTTTTAAATATTAATTTTTAATCAAATTTAGCCATCACATAAGATCTGAAGTATCTAAACTAATAGAGAAACAACATATAAAAAAATAAGATTGTATGTAATTAGAGATTATAATTATTTATTATTTTAATTAATTAATTTACTAAAAATATATGAATATTAGTTTAATTTGTAAGATACTTACGGTCCATATCATTATATTTTACAAAATAGTTTGTTTATTTAAATTGCTTATAAAAATTTCTAAATTTTTAAATAATTTATAATTTTTTAAAAAAGTAATTTATAAAAAGTTCTCAAAAAAACACGTACTAAAAATAATTGTAATAAGATTATTTTTATATTTAATTTTTTTTTATAATTATTTTTGGTTAAACACTATAGCACCAAAAGTTATTACACTACAACGCCAAAATTTTCGTTCAATGTTCTGAAGCGCCAAAGTTTAGCGCGTAAAATTTAGGGAAAAGGAACTTAATGGCTATTAGAATCCTAAATATCATTATCTTTCATTACTTCCCTCATCCCATCTGCTCTTAATAACGTAACCATCCCTCTTCCATAGGCCATAAGCATCAGATCGTTCTCTATAATCAGATCACTCAACATCTTTGGTAAGAGTTATCACTCTTCTAATATTTACAATTAAAGAATTCCTGATTTTAGTTCTCACTCTTCTATTAGAGATTTGATTTACAATTAAAGGATTTCTAGTTTTAATTTGGTGTTTAGGGTTTCAAGAATGAGTTGTCACTCTTCTATTAGAGATTTGATTTACAATTAAAGGATTTCTAGTTTTAATTTAGTGTTTAGGGTTTCAAGAATGAGATATCACTCTTTTATTAGAGATTTGATTTACAATTAAAGGATTTCTACTTTTAATTTGGTGTTTAGGGTTTCAAGAATGAGATTATCTCTTTATTTTGTATATATACTATGTATTTCTCTTTGAGCTACTGTATTTTGTACCTTTTTAGGTAACTTCTTGGTGCTTTGAGGAAAGTGATTTGATTAAAACAATAATGACACCTGTTACAAATCATCTATTTGTTGTCATTGCTAATTTAGGTTTTAATTTTGTGTTTAGAGTTGAGATCATCTATTTGTTTTGAAAGATCTGATCATGTTTATTTGCTTGAAAGATCTATAAAAATTGTGCTTTCATGTTGTGTGTCTCCATAATATTATTATTTGTTATTTATACTCATGTTACATTTATAATTATCTTTTCATTAAAACATTGTATTTTTCAATATCCAATGTGTTTTCAATGTATATATATATATATTTGTTACTACATTGTGAAGAACAAGCACAAGCAAACTAATAGTAGAAGTTAGGTCTGCCTATGCTCTACCCATAACACACTGCATACTCTGAACACATGCTAGGCAATTAATATATATATATATATATTTGTTTATGCTATCCACAAGGGAATTAAGTAATTAAGGTCCTCTTCAATGACTTTTAGTTTCCTTGATGCATGATATCCTTTATGTATTTCTTTCTTTTCTAGTAACTAATTTTCCCAAACCCTATTGATAATTTAATGGATTAGCTCTTTTTGGTATGTCAATTTGTTTCAGATTAAATTGTGCATCATGGCTGGACCTGGACGGCTTAAGAAACGTAAGCTTTCGGCAATTAACTCATCCTCTTGTGTTGATGCATCCATGTCCATGACTACAGGTAGTGATGTCTCCACTAGTATTCTAACTCCGAGTCTTGTTCCAACACCCACTCCCATGAGCTTTAATGCCCCCAATCTTAGTCCTACTCCAAGTCTTGTTCCTACACCCACTCCCACAAGCACTAATGTCCCCATTCCTCCTAGTCCCACTCCCAATACTTTTCCAATGCCCACAAGCACCGATATCCCTTCTCCTAGTTCTAATTCAACTCATATTCCCACTACCACACTTTCACCTACATCCGATGCTACAACTGACACATCTGGTTCAGGTAAAAATTTTTTTTTGAATGCTTTGTTCTAATATATTGGTTTTTTTTTTTTTTCATGTTATTTTATCCATTGTTTATTAGTATATCTTACTATCAATCTTTTTGATCATTGTCATTATTATAGCTACTTCCACGTCAACGACTAAGCATGGTAAAACAACAAGAGTCGCACTTGCTACATTTTAAGCAAAGAAAGGTCCTAAACCTGTTGTAATTTTTCATAAGGGGCAACATAGGCCAGTGGGTGGTTGGGCGAAGAACTTTGGAACTAAAGTAGGTTTAATATGTCGTACATGTGCACCTATCACTTGTGGGACTTGGTCACATGTGGATGACGCTACTAAGGACGTACTATATCGAGCATTAATGGTAAGTGAGAATTAATCATTTTATTTAAGTATTTAATTTTTTATTTAGATTTATTATCCAATTACTTGAAAACTAATATTTGATGTCTATGATATCAACATTCTTTTAGGATAAGTTTGACGTACGGATAGAGGGGACAGACCTCACAAAATTTCAAAAGGGTATATACACATTTTTTGGTGATAGGTTCAGAGCGTGGAAGTATGACATGCATGTGTTTTTTTTAAGTCTTTCAAGGGTAATGTCTCAGAGGCACGTTGTCATCCTTATGAGGGAGTTGAAGATGAGGATTGGCAGGTTGTCTGTGATATGTTTATTAATGATGAATTTTTGGTAAGTACCCCCTCATTTATTTACTTATAAATTTTGTTTTTCGTACTCTGACCTTTTCATACTTATTATTTGTAAAATTTGTATGTAGAAAAAGAGTGGGACAAACACAAAAAATAGGGAGAAGAATGTCACAAATCATTGTTCTAACTCGAAACCTTTTATTAGGTCTCGATATGAGATGGTTTGTTAACTTATACTCTCACTATTTTCTTATTATTTATAATGAGAAATTTGTATACATAATCTTAAAACTATTTAAAAATGAATCAGAGAAACGAGGAGACACAAGAGGAGCCTGATTTGGTGACTTTCTACAAAAAGACACACTGCCGAGAGAAATGAGAGAAAAAAGGGACATGGATGACACCACAATGTGAGGAGTTATATGTAAGTTTTTAAGTTAAACAAGAGCTTGAACAATATTAAATTTTTGGTTGATTAATCTTTTTGCTTTGTCATTACTAAAAGTATTAGCTATGCATTGTCTAAAATTTTTGTTTTTAGAATGAGGTTTAATTTTGTTTTTTTGTTTGGAAAAAAATACTGAGGAAAAGAAAGAGTAAAGGAAGTATATATTCTAGTTTAATGAATGATCCATTGATGATTTGATAAGATTAATGAAGTAATATTTCATATATATATAAAAATATATGTATGATAAAATTATAATTAGTTGTTAGCTGAATGATGATGAAATAAAAAAAGAAATGAAAACAAGACTATGCAGCTTATGATTTATAAAAGTATTAGCTATGCACTGTCTAAGAAAAGTAAGGTTCCAGTAGAAAGCTGGTAGAAAACTAAGCTTATGTAGACCAAAAATCTTAGTGAAAAGTTATATTTTAGACTCTCCTTAAAGACTAGTGTGCTAAATCTTGGATAGTTGTTCATAAATGATTTTCTATAATTAATATGTTATCCTCACAACTTGTCATTGCAGGCAAAGATGGTCCAGAATCTATAATCTCATGCATCTGATGATTCATCTGAATCAGGATTGGTGCAATTGACCCCAACTGAAGCCTTTTCCCAAATACTTGGTCACAAGTCAGGATACTTTAAAGGTCTTGGATATGGGCAGGTAACCATCATTGTTTCAAAACGCCATCACATAAAAATTGCAGAGGCCAGACAAAGAGCAAACCAATTAGAGGCAAAGTTGCAGGAACAAAATCAAGCCATACAAGAGTAGTTACAAAAACAAAATCAAATGATGCAACAAAAAATGGAGGATCAATCTAGAAAGATGCTAGAACAAGAGGAGAAGATTCGTGAGATATAGAAATACAAGGTGGAATAGGAGCGCAATGCCTAACAACAACAACAGACAATTAACTCCTTGGCGACTAAGCTTGCTAATATGACAACAATGATTGCTCAGTTTATATCACCCCAAAACAATCGTCGTTTATGGTAAGTTACTCCTTATTAATAGAGCTAGTTATATTAATTTTTTACCTCATTCAAAAATTTATTTTAGTCATTTAACCACTTAGAATTTTCGTGTGATCAATGAGAATGAAATTTAGTCTCATTTTTTTAGGAAGAAAATAAAATTGTTAGAAAAATTCTTCGATAGAATACCTATTAAGTTAAAAGAAAAACCTAGAAAGGCAAATCTTTTCCAAAACAGGAAGCAATAGATTTTTATGATATCTAAATGTGTCAAAACTAGCAAACAGTACACCGATACACAATGCAGAACATAGAGCAATTTGGAAGTTAAAGGGTACACATCTTCTGAGAATCATGAACTTGAATCATGTATAAATTGAGTATATTTTATTCTATATATATAGGTATCATTGGGCTTTAAGTTTTAATTTTTTAGGGGTTTTTAGTGTTATTAATTTTTAGTTTTTTTATTTTTTTATTTTATATATAATATATATATATATATATATATATATATATTATATATATCAAATTGTTGGTTAATTTTGGTTGCATTAATAATTATTTGTTGGTCTAACATGATTCTAAT